TGATCAGAAGGTTGCCAGTTCGAGGCCCGGCTCGGACACTCTCGGTATTGTGTCCGTGGTCAAGACTCTTCGCCTACTGGTGATGGCCAGAGGGGCCAATGGTGCGATATGGCAGCCTCACCTTTGTCAGTCTGTCCCAGGGCATGCAATCCATTATTATTTAAACCAACTGTTAACTGTATATTTTTGTACATTTACGTATTATGATTCATATTGCCACATTCATTGACATTGTTTTTAGGTAATTTTATTGTTTGGTCACGTTAAAATGTTCCTAATTTAATGCCTAAAAGCACTTGGAAAAGGCAGAATCCCATGTAAAATTAGCGCAACAAACTGTATTGTCATTACTGGAAATAACCGTATTTTTATGAGAAAGTGATTATCTGTTATTTTATGGTAGTATTTTGGCGACCCAGCTCCCGGAATATTACCGTTTTTTTAAGATATTTTTTTTAACAGTGTAGCATGAAGCGATGCCTGGACCCTACAGAGGTTGCACAGGTAGTCCAACTCCTCCAAGATGCCACATCAATATGTTGTATTACAGGATTTGTAAGAGAGCTGGACAAGGACTGTAGAGGGTACTTAACCCATCTGCTCCTTTGTGCAAGAGGGAACAGGATGAGCTCTGTCAGAGCAAAAAAAAAAAGATCTGATGAGCAGAACGGTGGGGTGAAAACAAAACAATCAAAAACAGTCTTCATGAGGGTGGCCTGGGAGCCCATTTCTTCTGCCGGGCACTGTGCTCACTGCTGGGCACCATGAAGTCTAACTGGCATTTACCACAGAATACCAGAATTGGCAGGTTCACCACTGGTGCCCTGTTGTGGTGTGCGGATCGATACTGAAATATCGATTCTTCCGATACCAGCAATTTATGTTCTAGAATCGATTCTCATATTATAATATCGATATTTTAGTACTCGGGTAAATTTGTAGTTTTTCCATTAAAATGAACGCAGTGGAAAGAAACTATATCATTCGGATCGTCTAATTTGGAAGGAATTACTTCCTCTTACGCCTTTCATAGTCATATGCGAAATACAGCTGTATAAATGTGTCACAGCCCCTGGCGTGCACACTCACAACAATGGCTGAGCGCAAACAAAGTCATGTTTTGCCTCCACAAACAGCCAAGACGCAGTTTGTGATATATGTGGCAAGACAGTGAGGTGTTGTGGTAACACCACTGACCTCGTCAAACACCTCGGAGTAAATCATATCACAGAATATGATGAGCTTATGTTGAGGTGAACTGAAGAGGAGGAGA